GTGTGTGTGTGTGTGTGTGTGTGTGTGTGTGTGTGTGTGTGTGTGTGTGTGTGTGTGTGTGTGTGTGTGTGTGCAAACACGGTTGCACCAGAGTGCGACCTACCGTGAGTCATCGCTGAAGAGCTGCATGATTTGCACGGCAAGCTGGAACAGCCCGCCCGTCTCTGTGCAACGATGATACAACAGGATGCGGTCAGCAACGCATACAGCTCGTGCAAGTGCGCAAGCAACATATTCGCACGTATACGTGTACGAGTGCACATTTGCCAACCAAACGCACCAACATCACACACATACACACACACACATCATCCGCATACACACACACACCATGCACACACCATACACACATGTGCTGGGTGACTCACTTCTGAGGACCATGGTTCGATACTCGTCCTCGGTCGGACACACAAATGCGTCGCGCCAGTAGATGTCCATGCCCTGGCCACGGTGCAGCTCCAACAGCTGATCTGCAATGACGACAGGCATGAATCACACCATCGTAAGCAACACACACGCACGCGCTCACATGAGGAGAGAAAGAGCAGAGGTTGGCTGCATGTGCATTGCATTGAGCTGGGGATGATGTTCGTACCTGTGAACACCTGCGCTGCATCAGGGTGTCCCAGCGCCGCAATCTGTTGAATGTTTTTTTTTTTTTTTTTTTTGGGGGGGGGGAGGCGAGTGGGTGTAAGTGAGCGAGTGATTGGACGAGATACTGTGTATGCTACATGACTATGTGCAAGTGTGTGCGTGTGTGAGAGTGAGAGAGGATATGAGAGGCGCTGTGTATGTTGCACAAGTGAGCCTTCGTGGGTGCGGTCAGAAGCCCGCGTCTTACCTCTGCCATTGCTTTGAAATACATGTAGTTGGCGCAGTTGATGGTTTGCGCGACCCCATACACGCTGTGTGCGACTGGGTGGATAGCGAAGCAAGAAAGTGTGAGTCAGGTGGTCGTGAGGGTGCGTGTGCGTGCATGTGCGTGTGCGTGTGCACATGCGGGTGTACATATTGCGTGTGTGCGTGTGTACATATTGTGTGCGTGTGTGTTGTTGTTGTTGTTGTTGTTGTTGTTGTTGGACACAGCAGCAGCAGCAGCATGTGACTGGCGTCAATGGCCGATGTTGTGCTGCAGCACAGCAATTGATAAATGGGCAAGGCAGCATCGAGCGGCTCACCAGGAATGCCACGGCGCAACTTGCTGTTGTCCTCAATATCGTCAATCCTAATGCGAGGGAGGGAGGTGGGGGTTGCATAGGCGCACAGAAAAGCATGAGACGCATCACACACAAGACCGGGATGGCAGGAAGGACGGACGAACGTGTGTGGGCGTGTGGATGTGTGTGCGTGTGGCGTATGGTTGCATGGTTGCATCCATGAGATCAGCTGTCCACACCACACCACACACACACACACACACACACACACGCACTTACACACGCACTTACACACTCACACACACATGCACAGTCACACTTACAGGAGGGATGCGTTGTGGAGGATCTTGGTGACTGATTTGATCTTGGAAAGCTTGTCATCTGGAACCTTGAGCCAGAGGTTGAAGGCTTGGATGAGCTGGCTGCGGATATCCTTGCCTGGGATTTGGGTAATGTAGTTGTACGGCTCTTGCAGGATCTAACAAACACATGCAGGAGAGTGCGCGCACATGTGAGTGAATTGGGGGATGTTGTGGGGTTGAGGACTGCCGCATAAATGGAACCATGTGTGTGTGTGTGTGTGTGTGTGTGTGTGTGTGTGTGTGTGTGTGTGTGTGTGTGTGTGTGTGTGTGTGTGTGTGTGTGTGTTGCCGAACCTCTTCCTCGCGACTGGAGACTTGGAGTGGTGGGCTTGGTGCGTCGTCGCGTGGCTCCCCCCTCTTGCTTTCGCTCATGGTGGTGTAAGCGTGTGTGTGTGTGTGTGTGTGTGCGTGTGTCTAGCTGCTGTGTCTTGGGTAAATGAATGGAGGTGGTGAAGGCGAGCGAGAGAGAGAGAGAGTGTGTGTGTGTGTCTGTGTGTCTGTGGCTGCGCACTTGGGGTGAGTGTGTCTGCTTGCTTGGTTGGTGTGTCAGCAGAGTGGCCAAATCCGTTTCTTCTTCGCTCCAAACAGCCAAAAATAGGCACAAGCAGCAGCTTGACGAGGGCGACTTGATGATGGTGAGATCACAACATGTTACACGTGGTGGCAGCTTGTCGTGTTTATTCGGCTTACGCTCCCGTCATCCCCTTTCTCCCTCTCCCTCTCCCTCTCTCGTTCTACTCACACCCACACACCCACACACCACCAGCACCACCTGTCACATCACACCACACTCAACTCATGCAAACAAGGATGGGAGCATGGATGTGACGAGGGTGAGGGCGGTCCAGTGCATGCCATTCAAGGACACTTGTTCCCGCTGCTGCGCTTGTGGCTGTTGCTCTTGCGACGCCTGCTGTTGGCGTTGCGCTGTGGAGGAGTTAGGGGAGGAGGAGGACGTTGGTGATGCTGCAAACCGCTTTGCGACCTCCACCAGCGCTGCAAACGTGCGGGGCTCGTGGATGGACAGCTCACTCAGCACTTTCCGGTTTAGCGCCACATCCGCCTTTACGTGAGTTCGTGTTGTGTGTGTGTGTGTGTGTGTGTGTGTGTGTGTGTGTGTGTGTGTGTGTGTGTGTGTGTGTGTGTGTGTGTGTGTGTGTGTGTGTGTGTGTGTGTGAGTTCGTGTAGTGTGTGTGTGTTTGTGTGTGTGTGTTTTGTGTTTGTGTGTGTGTGTGCATTTGTCGTGTTCAGGAGAGGGAGAGCGTGAGATAGGTTCGAGGTGGAGCTGTGTGAGCAAACGTGAAAAAACGGTATGCACCTGGTGGTCACGAGAAAATTAGTATTATATTTCTCATTTTTCTAGTCAAA